TGTTTGGCTGAGTAGATCGCATCTCAATTTGACCTTTCCAGGCTCTGAAGAAGGCGAAACCGCCGAAACGTCAGCAATTGTGTTCTAATAAATTCTATATTAACAACCTCGTGTCTGCTTATTGATGAAAAACATTGAATTATCAATTAATGCCGAGGTTAACAGAAAGTCGGTCATGGGAATTGCTCTTGATAATTATTAGAAAAGTTTCTCTTGGCAACTTCCCACGAAGTCGAGCATTCTACTTGAACATAACGATTAATCCGTACCGAGAACTGACTCAAACACCGAATTTCCACTATCAAGTCACTACATTCTGTTGTGTTGGCCTAATGCCTACATTCTGAAGTATTGGCAAAAACGAAGAAGAATATCGCATATTCGAGGACGGGAGACTGATCCATGATGGAGGACCTCATCTAATGATCGTAAATTTGTGGTTCCTTTATGTCGAGTAACCACGGCGTGATGCGGGAGACGGGAGTAGATGCACCTTGTTGGCGTTTCAATTGGTCGACTTCCTCAATAATATTGTCGATCAGTTGTTGCATTATGGTTTCTTTACATTTTTACAGCATAGAATTTTTTTGTCAATTTTGTAGTTGCTGCCTGTAGTCGTCGTATTGCTATGTGATTGTTCTCAAGTGGTGCGGTTGAATTGTTTTCCACGGAAGTCTTACGAAATAACCATCGTCTCTCCTCTCTATCGTTTTTGCAAACTCTTTCCAAGTTCCAATATTTTTCTGCCTTTGTTCTTTGATTTTCCATCCGGTAAATTCATTAATTGTTGACTATTCAAATGCGCAGAAATATTTTTATGGTTATCCCAATGGTTCGTGGTTGGGCACTGTAGCCTCAGTGATAAGGAGTGTACTTTCTCCCGACTTAATGTACCGCTTGTGGTTAGCTCCTGCCATCGGATTAACCATTTTAGTAGCGATTTGTTGGTAATGTTTTATTCAATCCTCGGTTATTATCCAACAAAGAAAAGAGATATCCCAGCACCATCTGTTGATGTACGCTGCTATATTCAGGATCGATGGAAATCTCACATTGTTGTAATGAAGGAATTTCTTATACTCTTCGCTAAGGCGAATTGTAACGATTGGCCCCGTGTAATAGAGATTAGTAAAGAAAAGTAGTTGTTTGGATTTGTCCGTCCTATGTCTGCTAACTGTTAATGGAATGCTCGACCACGCTGGACTTTTATTCGTGTAGTGTCGTGTGTGCTGCAAAACCGCGAACTTGGGTATTCAAACCGTTTAAACACATAATATTTACACGACAATGCAATGAGACTAGAAATGTATATAAGTATACAGTTGCACAATATGGATGCCGGTATGACGCCATTAACGAGATGTACCTATAACAGCACTGAGTCTGCTACAGTACCCTTATGCTGCTTATTGAGGGGAAGGTAAACTTAAGAGGCTAGGTACATATGATAGAGCGAATTAGCCGCAAGCTAAGGGAGTGATGTGGTTGTATAAGTGCGACGAAAAATACAATAGTGCTCGTAGTAAAGGTTAGCACATTAGAAAGCACATGTGAGCTTGTGATATTGCAAAATGGTAATGGCAATGTAACGAGGATAGGAGTGATTAAATAATTCTGATTGTGTAAGAACATTGCTACAATTATAAGAGAGTTAAGATTTACGTGCTTCCAGTTCAAGAATGTGAATAGCGATAGCGAGAAAGCTTTTGAAATAAGAATGAAGAATTGATGGCTAGAGTACCTGTGAGCAATGAAATTATTTGCCAAAGTTGTTATGTTAACAACACATAGTAACTACAAAAGAATCGATGACAACATTAATATATTGGAAATGCAAGAGCTGCGCATTATAGTTAACGTCATTTATGCCTAAGTGGATCGAAGGAGTTATGAATGGAAGGAATATGTTGGAGAGCAAATAATGATGAGGAAAGGGCAGCGGTGAGCTCCAAGGCGCCGTCAGAAGCCAAATGACGGTGCTAGTGGGCCTGGCTACGTAAAGTAAATATCATTGGTCGCAGGGTCAATGCCTGGGTTGTGTCACGGGATCTAGCCCCAAGCAATGAGGCGTGCCCAATAGCATGGCTGGTGGTGTGCCTGATGGCTACGAGATGCCGCGTTTCGTGGCGTGCCTGATGGGTAAGATGGGAAGTGGATGTAGAGCATGCATGCAGTTGATGCAGTCGTTGCGGCCAATGCAGTCTCTATGGACTTGTAGAATGTGTTTGTTAGGTAGATAGAGAATTCTCTATTTGATAGGGAATTCTCCACACGAATGCTTTCAGCGGTTTGATGATGGCCTCGGTTCTAGTTATTGTAATTTTGTGTCCTGTTCCACTGATGTCCCACAAATTTACTGTGGTAATTCCACAAATCTTTTTGAGTTCGTTAAGAGCTTCGAAGGTGTTAGTGGATAATTCTATGGACTCGATATTTTGTAAACGAATCCGTTCGGCCAATTCATTGATGAACGATCGGTCGGTTTCCGAATCAAGGAAGCGATCTACCGGTTTCCGTGCACCAGTATGAGGGTTGAAGATCTGTGCTTGTCCTGTTAAAATTTGGACATTCGTTGTGTTTTCCTTCACTAAAGTATGGCAGCAGCGTTTTAGTGGTTTTGTTGCGATTCTCTTGTATTGATTTTTGGGGGCGTAGTCTTCTCGTTTTTTGCAGTATTGACAGGGGACTTCTGTATGTCTTTTTGCCGTATTTCTGATTGATAAAGTTGATGTTCTTTTGGAAGCTGCTGCTGCTTACAAATGGAGGCGTGATGCCCACGTTCACTGTATACGTGGCAGCATCCTCCTTTGCAAGTAGAGTTATGGTCAAACTTTGATCCCCAGTTAAAACAACGATTTCTATCTTTTATACTTTGTACCTTTTCTTCATAGGTTCGCACTTTTTGTAGTAAGTTGAGAAATGTGCTACTGGATATATCCTTGTTGGGTGCGAGCGGTTTTGAGTTGCTGGGAGTTCTATTTCTAGTACCTTTAAAGTCCGATATGACATTGACGTTTTTGTACAGATCGTGTTGTACCTCGAGCTCCTTGCCTATGTATTCATTGATAAATCTTAAAAAATCTTCGGTTTTGTATGTGTCATCCAATTCTTGACTCTTTTGACTCAGTGCGTGTGTTTGAACAACTTTCGTAAATTTCGTAAGGAGTTGATTTTGTTAGTACACGGTGTCTGCAAATTCTCGTCCCTGTGCTAGTTGCCTGTTTATGGAAAACAAATACTCGTACAATGTTTGTTGGTCTTCAAGGCGGTAGCTATTCGCTTGTTTCGGTCGTGCAGAATTGAGTAGTTCGTCTAGATCTTATTTTTTTTTTTTACCATACTTATGATTTAAATAGGTGATAACCATCTGGCAGAACTTTCATGTTATTCTTTATTGCTTGACGAAAGTTTTTGTTTTTCCTTCAAGAAAGTGAAATAGATGGTTTATTTTTAAGAAGCTGTCCGTTTTTGCGAGCACACTGAATGGTTGGATGTTTCTCAGAATATACCCCACCCTCATAGTTTTTCATCGAATTTTAGAATAGGGTAGGTAAGTTTACTGCTTGCAGACTAGGATTTGTGCGACACGAAACGTTGTTTTTTTAAACCTTCTTAAGTGTTCCTTATTTTAAAGAAATTGAAGAGATGGTGCGTCGTCCTATCAAGTAGCTCTAGTGTTTTCTCGCTATTTGAATTGATCTTCTCAAGTGCATCTATTGATAGGTTTTTAGGTTCAAGACGATCTGCTTATTCGCTATACTTATCCAGAGTTGTCTGAACGTTGTGCATTTCGGACTCAATGGCGAATGTTGAAGCTGCAATTCTTTTTCTTAGCCTATTGACGTAGAAAGTGCTATCTTTATCATAGGGAAGCTTCTACTTGGTACGATGCTGTCTTCACTATCATTAAAATTAGTTAAGAGACGGCTAATAGTCTTTGTTAGAGCCCCTAGGCGTGATTATATTGACGAAGTCATTATATAGCGAATATAAATGTACTGTCTTCTCTTTTGTTGGTTTTCTGGTTTGAGTCTGATTGTCTTATCTACGACTTCGTTACAGTAGCTTGATCGTTGCACCAGACTGTAATGATTAGGCCGATGCGCCATACATTGCACGAATACCATTAGCTTCATGTAGAATGATCGACTCACTAGGAAGTTACCACGCGAGACTTTTTGAAAGTTGTCACAAGGCAGTATCCTCAAACTTGGCTAATTAACCTTTAAACAACAATAGTAATACGGGAATGACGATGCATGAACACTGGCATAATCCGTGCGGCAGTGTGCAAACACGATGAATAAGTGAGGGTAACGCTGGTTGGTGGCTTGTTACAGCCTAGTGGGGGCAATGCTGTGTGCATATAAAATGCATCAATGTTGGTAAAACAGATAGACACATAAAAGCGTCTATGCGAGATCGTAATACCTGACTAACGATGCTGATACTCTAGGGTTACACACCATATATAAGCTTGTGGTATCGTTCTGGTGAGGTTAACACGTTAAGGGGTACCTGCAGGGTTGCGATAACACTAACTTATAATGAACACAAAATAAGGCTAACGTACTTAAAGGTACATGACGGCAGAATGATGTTTATGCATAGTAGTAACTACGTGCAATGCGAGCTAACAACGTCGACGACCTACATGACTTAACGATTAGGGTGAAGGAGATAGTAGATAAATAGTAACTCACGGTGCTATTTACATTTTTCTGCAGGAGGAGGAGATTTGGCACAGGTCCAGAACTTTTGCCCAAAGCGAACTCCACTCGCAACTTCAAGGTTCCGAGGATGACGAAATCGCCGAAATGTCGGCCATCGACCAACAACATGGACAACAACTGTAACAGCAACGGCAATAACAATAACAACAACAGCGAGAACTTATACCAATCTCGCATCAGCTCAACAAGATCAGTTCGCAGGAACCTATAAATTTTACCGAAAACACTCGTCGACTTACCCTTTCAACTCCGTCACGGCCAGGTCAAATGAGTGAGGTCGGCTCTCGTGAACAAACTTTTAGTCCTCGTGTTATTGTGGCAGGCGAATGTTGGGTAGCAATGCCTTATTCTCTTCTTTTTTGCTTATTTTAAGATAGGTTTAACTATAAGTAAAGAAGGGGTTGTGACCAAATTGTTGTTTGTCAGTAAATGACCGGAACTTTCGTTAAGAATGACGGTGAATGGTGAAGTATTGTAAACGACTTTTACTTAACCTCGATATGAATGGTGGTTGATCTGCTTTCTTCCGTTGATAAGATAGAACAAAGTTGTTACTACGCATTTATTTGACTAACGTTTCGACGTGTTCGTCTTTCTCAGCGCCGATGGTTGGTGTCGAACACCGTCTGTGTAGACTGTGGAGCACTGACTCCGACCACGGAATCTGAGGATGAAGAAGACGTAAACACTGGTCGAACAAATGTTTGGTAATAACGTCTTTCTACTTATCTATAAAAAACGAAATAATTTAGCTAAAAACCATATCGATAATACTACGCTATTTTAGGTGTTCTACCAGATCGGTGTCTTCATGTCTCGTTCATCTATTAATCTCGTTCAGCTCAATTTCATGTGTATCTCGCTTACAGCTGTCATTCAGGTATTTTCCATCCCGTGCAGAGCTCTCATTTTCACCATTTCTCTATCGTCTTTTGCTCTTTCAGACAACACTTGCCGCTGTGATTTTCCTTACGGCTATCTACTCCTTCATTCCTCATTTTGCAATCGTGGCTGGAATGATCTTCGTCGTAGGAATAGTTGGTGGAATAAACTATGCGAATACATTCTACCACATTCACAGAAAAGTACAGTTTCTTTTAGAGAAATTACTATGTATCTTCTTGCCATATTGTCCATATCGATAACATGAGTTGGCACAGAGTTTTTTCCGTTTTTGGTATTATTTCTGCAGTAGATATGCTTTAGATAATATTCTTGTTGAAAGCATAGTAGAAAAGAAAATGCTTATGAAAACGACCATAATACTTAGAAGCGACTAGCGAAAGTAGAAATATGTTTGAAATTCTTCTAACGTGTTAAGAAAACGAAAACATCCATTATGCAATTTTTACTCTACATTATTTTCATCTGATATGGTTATATATATATGTATATATATATGTATATATATGTATATATATGTATATATATGTATATATATATGTATATATATGTATATATATGTATATATATATGTACATATGTATATATGTATATATATATATATATGTACATATGTATATATTGTATGTATATATGTATATATATATATATATATGTACATATGTATATATTGTATGTATATATACATATGATATATTTTCATCTGATATGGATATATATATATGTATATATATGTATATACATGTATATATATGTATATTTATGTGTATGTACGTATGTATATATATACGCATATATACAAATATATACGTATATATTACATATACCCACATATATATGCAATTATGTATGTATATATATATACGCAGGTATACATGTATATGCAAAAGCCTTTGAGTGTACATATATGCATATATATATATTTATATATATATATGTATATATATAACCTCTCAACGGTTTACCGCCTCATCATGGCTGGGAGGTGTTCCTGGGTGTAGGACTGCAATGTACAGCGAGGAGATTCGTCCCACTGGCAGGGTCTCCCAAGCTGAGAAGGCGTCCGGCGTTTCAATCAGGAAGCCTAGCTAAGAGTAAACCAATACCAGGATCCACCACCGTCCTGGTATCGAAGTCGCATGGTGGCAAATCTTTCTCTGATCCACAAGGGCTGCGACTGCTCATGGTGGTGACGCAATAAGTGACGTAGTTTTAACTTAAACAGCTCGAAATAGCTTTAATTCTTTGCTATGACACAGCTTACATTCTCGACTTTACTGATTCTACCGAGCACCTCTATTTCCGAACATCCCTTTCAAGTTTATGGCTCAGATGATCCACATCAGTGATTTTTTATTGTTATTGTCAGCACATGGTATTCCCATATAGAAGAATCTAGCCAGCATACATGAGTAATTCCACTGGCAAATCCAGTCCTGGTCTCATTTCCTTGAAAAGTGTGCACTGTTCTATTGAAAGTTCACGTTGGTGCTACTTTATGTCCACGAAGCGCGGCTTTCTAAGAATGTGTGTCGTGCAGTGATTAGAAGTAGCCTACAGATTGCCCAAATCTGAATTCACTCATCACCACGATCCTCATTGGATTGTGAATTTGGAGTTATTCTTCTACTCTTTTTCCAAAAACCGTAGAATGTTTTTCACATTAATTTTAACACTGCTACTATTTTTATTGATGAAAACAGACGATCATTGATACCAGTGTAGTATCTTTAGATCTACTGTGAATCCTCTCCAGACGATGACCTTGCTGGAAAACCTTCCTCATTATTTTTCCTGTTTTGGATTGTTTTATTGTTCCAATAATCAGCTAAAGGTCACTTTAAGAATGGTGACTGCGTCTGTTGAAACTCTCTCACCTACTCAGAAGAAATTTTAGTTTCTAAGTGGCGCATCTTGGAAATCCTCAGCTAGTCCTTGCGTTTTTTTTCAGCCCATTTGTCTTAGCTGCACCGAGCCGACATTATCCATTCAGCAGACGAGGTCTCCAGAGTCGAAAGTTTCTTCGGTAAACCACTGGACAGATTGCCGAACTATTCAGAGACGCCTAGTAGTGCTCTTAACGTAGTGCTTAGTAGTGCTCTAAACGCATAGGCCATAATTTCTAGTAATTTGTTTTAATTTGGAATAAACAGGACCAGATTTAGGTTTCGCATAAGCGTTATAGTCGTTTCTTCACATCTTGACAATTCAGGACAATTATCAATTGAGTTTTATTCATTCTCGAAGAATGTGAACGTCACGTTTTCCGTAAGACGTTCATCAAGAGCTTGAAAATGCACATACGGTTTTACAGCTCCTAAAGGTGAAGCGTGTTGAATTTAAGAAAAACATAAACGTTAGAAACGAGGAGGAACGCTTACTTTGTACTCAAAGAAATTCAAAATGAAGTCATCGATCGTTTTCGGTCTTCCCATACTGCAATGCTATGGAACGGTATCTGAATTTTCAAGCGCTTAAAGCTTCATTCAAGGCTTATGCACTTTAACAGCGTCAAGCCTTCGCAAAATGAGTTTCAAATAGATTTTTTTGCTGGAAATATACAGATCCGATTAGTTTTTTTTATAGGTGGATCCAGCAACTCGTGAATTTGCTCTGTCCATGGTCACATTCGCCGACACAGTCGGAATTCTTGGGGCCGCGATGGCGGCGATCCCGGTCCACAACTGGATATGTGCAATGCAGTGATGCAACAAGAAACTACACGTATTCTATCGACTATTCTATTACTCCACTATTTGTCAATTGATTCAGTTTTGTCAATCGAATAATATTGCCACTCCTAAAATCACAATCCTCTATGTTCCTAATTAGGAATTGCGACTGTCACGATTTTGAAAAGACGATATACGCTCGACCCGTGCGAGCGCCTCTGAATATGATGTGTTCCCTGTTCTGTTTTCCTGTTCGAATAAAGTATTGAATACACTTGTGTCGTCGCACACTTTTACATACCTTGCTGTTGTGTTCTTTTTAGAAATGTCTATGAAAAAAACAAACTTTTACGGCAAATTTATTTGTGCAGTTTCATCTGCTATCTGCTGAAGTTATGAGTGTTTGGCTGAGTAGATCGCATCTCAATTTGACCTTTCCAGGCTCTGAAGAAGGCGAAACCGCCGAAACGTCAGCTATTGTATCCTAATAAATTTTATAATAACAACCTCGTGTCTGCTTATTGAAGAAAAACATCGAATTATCAATCAATGCCGAGGTTAACAGAAAGTTGGTCTTGGGAATTGCTACGTGAAGTGCCAGCAAAATGTTTCCGACTTGTAAAAGAAGTCCTGTCACTAAGACAAAAAATTGTCTTAACTAGACAAACGATACTCCTTCTCCGCCGCTGCCTGAAACACCGAGTCGTGCCGAACTTCATCAAACGAAAACGACTACACGATGTTTGTGGCCTACCGAAGGATGGCCAACAAGTAGCGGACATCGAAACGCGATTACTACGCGCTTCTCTTCGATGCAAGGAGGACGCCATGTACCATGTACGCGCAATTGAAGAAGTGCAAGTCGAAAGAATCTTACTGTGTTCAGTATTTGGAGGACTTCCTTTGGAGGAGCATAATGGGTGGGTCAATTTTGATTTGTGATTGTACTAGGTCGAATGCTAAAATAACCTTAAGTAGGAAGCTTCAAAATTTGCTAGATGATTCGCAAAAACCAGCTTTAATTAAACAAAGTAAAATCGTTTACAAAAGCGCTAGTATTGAAAAATGTGGTCGATAACGTGCCTGAAAAGTCAAGGGTCGCCGTGTTAGGAGGCATAACTTTTCCTGATGCGCGCTCGCTGTTAGAATTGGGTTTATGTTTCTCACCAGCGCGACCCATTTCTAAAGAAACCTTGCATAGGATCGCGTGCAGTCTGCACGAGCTCCAAGGTCGACTCCGCAGCAACGCCAAAATTGAGACACGAAACAAAAAGGAGCAACGAGAAGTAGAGGCACTACCACCACCTCCATTTCCTCGATTATACTTTAGACAGCAAGACTTTAACGATAAAGTAGATACAAAATTTCGCATATTTTCGAGGACTCAAATTCCTTAACCACTGTCGCTTGAGAAAGTTTAGTTCGCACCTCACGGCTGCGCAAAAATCTGGTATGCGACAGGTTTGACAGCTAATAAAATCGAAGTCTATTAGGCCATCAGTTAGTGATAAGGGTGGAGAGTTTGTAGTAATTCCTCGCCAGTTAGATGTCGATATAACGGAGAAACACCTTGAAGACGTATCTCTTTATCGAACGACTCCGCAATGCAAGCCATCCGTGAGTTCCTCGAGCAACAAGAAGGAGCAATTAACATGTATGGCCTTTCGATTCAGCAGCTTATAGTCCTCTTAAAGGTCTGCTTAAACTGCTCGATCTTAAGATGGTCTGGGAAATATTACCCGCAAATTAGAGGGTTGACAATGGGATAGCGACTAGCACCAACCCTTGCCGTTGCCTTTATGTCTAAAGTGGAAGCACCAGTAATCGATATCAGGCCATTACTCTACTGTAGGTATATAGATGATTGTTTTGTCATCTGCTCCACACAAGAGGAGATGGACAAACGCTTTGAGTTATTGAACGAACAGTCAAAGTACATAAAATTCACCTGTGAGAAACAGAAAGAAAACTGGCTTCCATTTCTAAACGCTCAAATTAACTTATCCGAAAACGGCTACATCACAAAAAGGTATCGAAAGCCAAGCAGTAAGAATATAGTGGTTCATTACCCCTCCTCTCATCCCTCACACACTAAAAGGGCGTTTATATGAATTATGTTTCGAACCGCCACCAGCGTATGCACAGGTCGAGAGCAGAGGGAAGAATCCTCGAAACTGGCGCGCCAAATAGACACTTCAAATGGTTACGAAAGTGTAGCTTTTCGGCATAGGCATACAGGAAAACCCACGCCCCAGAGCGATAACTCTAGCGAAGACAAGGCTCCGGTCCTCTTGCCCTTTATTTCAAACGAAATAAGTGCAGCCATAAAACGTTGCTTAATAGCGGCCGGTAGAGAGAATTCCGTAATAGTGATAGAAATACCATCCACATTCTAAGACGTCAGCTAGTTCGCAACCATCTATATGACCGTCTGCGTACAACGAAAGAGTGCATGGTTTACCCAAACGGAAAAAAAAACAGCGATTGCATGAGTTCGGGTACAGTCTATCCGATCTCTTCTAAGGCATGCGGAAACGAATACGTTAGCGAAACGGATGGACCGCTCTGCGTCCGCATGAAAAAACACCTAGTTGGTAAATCTAAATTAAAACAAAATACTCCACTAGGCGCGCATAGGATGCAGGAACACATGAAAGAAGATTTTGAAGTAGAAGTCACTAACATCACGCAGGAATCGACAACACAACGCGTAAAACTCTTGAAGCGTTTTGGATCAATTCCAAAATTTCAAAAATGAACCACAAGGAGGAGTGTCTTGTCATCACGCGTGACCTGGCGCCATACCTCAGGGTAATCCAACGACCTGACACAGGTACAGTCCTCGCCCGTGTATTACTCTGTGCGGTTGCTATCCACCAACTAACTTAAATACTTACAACAAATAAACGGTAGGTGTTTAGGTGAAGCTGTTTCTTGTACGAATACAAACTTATTTGTTAAGTTTTATCTGCTAGGGTTATGAAAGTGTTTGGCTGAGTAGATCGCATCTCAATTTGACCTTTCCAGGCTCTGAAGAAGGCGAAACCGCCGAAGCGTCAGCTATTGTATCCTAATAAATTTTATAATAACAACCTCGTGTCTGCTTATTGAAGAAAAACATTGAATTATCAATCAATGCCGAGGGTAACAGAAAGTCGGTGTTGGCAATTTCACGCTTCTCTTCAGCAGTTCTCACTTAGACACTCAGTCTTCAGATGTCGTCCATGTTCCTAGGAGTTAAACGTTTCTAGTAGAATCGAAAAAAATCTCCACCCCACCCCCTTTCTTCCCCTATATCACCCCTTTTCCTCTCCCTCTCCTCCGTCACCCCCACTTTTAGATAGCTTTTAAAACAAAACTCTACCGCGTGCAACGAGCCTCACAATTCTAATAGAACACATTGGAGCACATTGGGTTAAATCGACATATTTAGAATGTAGTTAATGGTATGCATTTTTTACATGAGCCGTCATCACATATGCTATACGGACCCTAGCACTTCTACCATTCGATTCATTCTTCTCACATTCGTTGTCCACAATCATCCTCGAACCGGATCGACCTCGCGCCTTTGTTTCCTCGTTGATGAAACTATTAACCACAGCGCAATCCCTCCCTAGTTACTGATATCATCTGTATCACCTGTAGCTCGTTCATCGTCGAATGACTCCAGCGGATACCAGCGAATCTTCCATTTTTCCCTGTCGCTTACAGGAGTAGCTCAGTGGATTCTGCTCGCTCTAGGTTCCCATTGACCATCATGCCTTTCTTCTGGAGTTTTCGTGAAGAACTCTAACCAACGGGTCGGTGGTATTTCTGCAGTACTTTTGACATCCCAAAGAATCAAGTACCTAATGGCTCTCTATCGGTTATCATTCATACGCATTGCGTGTGCGGCCCACCTTATCTTCAACAGCTTGGCGTACAGAACGGCATCTTTGATTTTTGATCGTTGACGCAGGTCGGAGTTTCGGATCACTTCTTTCAATTGTGTGACACGGGATACTTTTAGCATTATACTTTCGACAGTGCGTTCAATAACGCTGAGTGTCTTCCATCCTACTTACGCAGTGACCGGGTCTCTGACGCTTACATTAAGTGAGGAAGAATCGCGATGTCAAAAAGGTGGGCACGGAGTCGCGTGTTCTTTCTTCTCTTCACCACATCCTTGATGCTCTTGAAAGCTCTCCAGGGCTACCGTACTTTTTTGCCGAACTATGGATCTAAAGTCGTTCAACACATTGATATCCCGACCTAGGCAGACATAACTGGAGTATTCGGAGCTATTCGTTCCGGTGATCTGAATGGGGCATACGAAGCCAATCTGTTTCTCATTAACGTCGTTTTTGTGAGCTTTAGCCGAAGACCAATCTTTTCATGGGCTTTATCAAAGTCGGCCAGCATTCATTCCGCCTGGCTAATGTTTGGTGTTATAAGGACGTTGTCATCAGCAAAGCGAAAATGGTGTAATTGCCGACTATCGATTTTCACTCCCATGTTTTAGCATACTAATGTTCCCATGACGTTCTTGAGGGTGGCGGAAAATAATTTTGCCGAGTTGGTATCGCCTTGCCTAACCCCTGTTTTGACTTCGAGGCTAATATCGTTGTAGAATGGGAATATCTTGGTTGTCAAATTTTTGTAGAGTTCACGGGGAATTTTCATATACTGAGGAGGAACTACTTGGATATCAAGGGCTTCCATGACTGCTTCTGCCTCATTGAGTGAAAAGCCTTCTATGAATCGATGAGAGTGAGACAGAGCGGTCTTTTGTACTCCTGCGATACTTTAATGAGTTTTATTATCGTGTGGATGTGGTTCATCTTACTGAGTCCTTTTCGAAACCCTGCTGGTTCACATGGCCGTCATCCGCCCAGTGTTCTATCAGTCCTACTTAAGACGACTCGAGTAAAAAGTTTGTAGACGGCATACGTAAGCAGATTGGGCCATAGTTTCCGGTATCGTGGAGGTCACACTTCTTGAAAAAAAGCATGGCCCTGCTGGGTGGGAATCTTGCATTCGGACAGGTAACGT